GTTGGGAGAAGAAAATGTATGATCAGAATATATGGTATGGAAAAAACTTTTAAAAAAGATTCCACTTCTCTATGCTTCAGGTTATAGGCATCTTACAATCAGCTAATAGCAGCTTCACATTTTTTCAAGGGGGACTGTAGGTGCTGTTCTCAAGGGAAAATAGATACAAGATTTTGTAGTTTTGTCAAAGTTTATCCGTAGAATTCTAATTTAATTTCAGGCAACATACCTCAGAGACTATTTGGCTTATTTTGTTTTCTTCTAGACCAGTCTTCTTTGTATAGTGAGCATTTGGAATGTACTGGGAGGTTAATGTTTGACAATTCCTACTGGCTACAGAAGATAATTATAGACAAAAAAAGGGGTGAAATATTTGAATAAAATAATGAACTAAAACTATCATCTGACTTTTCAGTTGAGTAAAAAGTCATGCCTTTCTGTGGATGAAGGCTTCCAATATTGGACACAGGAGTCAATCAGTTTGAGTCTTTGACACATTAATTTTGTGAAGACCATCCTTCACCCTTTCCAGTGTTGACACAAGAAAAATGAAGCACAGATGTTTTCAGAAGTGGAAAAAAATTACCAAGAGCCTCGTATTATCAGAACAGTGAATTTGCCCATCTACAGAAGAATGATTATTGCTAAGTGTGTAATAGTGAAGCCCCTCTTTCTCATTTGTGAGACCCTAGGAAGAAGAGACTCCTGCAATTTATATATTGACAACCAATAGCAAGTGTCTGCTGCGCTCCTACTTAAGCATACGTAGAACAACGGACTTGGGACATTTTGCATGATAGAGAAAGAAATGGAAAGAAGAAGTCAGAATCTTCATACTGGAGGAAGCTGATAAAAAAGTCAGGTAGAAAAGGCATACCCATAGAAACCAGAAAACAATAAATTAATGTTTGGCCACTTGGTGCAGCCCATAATCCAAGTTACTCAAGGAAAAAGAGGCAGGAGAATTGCAAGATTGAGGTCTACCTGGGCCATATAGTATGTTCAAGGCAAAACTAGGCAACTTACAAGGATTGTCTCAAAATGAAAAGCAAAAAGAAATATGGGGTTTTATAGAGGGTTTGCCTAGCTTGCATGAGCAAAGTCTTGGTTCAATACTCAGTACCACAAATAATTAACTAAAGACGGTGTGTAGTAAGTGTAAAATGAGAAGAGCTGATAACCCTTTAAAAAATTCAGACAGGTTAGGAGAAAATGAGAGTGTTTGATGCATCAATTAGTCTGCAAAATATTTAAGATGACACTTAAAGTAGGAATTGCAAGGATTGAATTCAGATGTATGTAGACTGCGGACTGAGCATGAAGCAAAGAGGGAGGCAAGCAGAGATGTAATGGAGATTTAAGCATTTTCATATCGATTCCTTGAGTACAAGGAGGCGGCTTATTCTTTTAAGGGTTGGAAATGATACAGGAGAAATGTGGTAGTTTGAAGGAAATTGGTCCACATAATCACATAGGGAGTGGCACTGTTAGGAGGTATGACTTTGATGGAGTGGATATGACCTTACTGGAGGAAGTATGTCACTGTGGGGGCAGGGATTTGAGGTATACTTAGGATACTTCCAAGTGTCTTGGTCAACTTCTTGTTGCCTGCAAGATGGAAAACTCTCAGCTACTAACCCAGCACTACATCTGCCTGCATGCCTCCATGTTCCCTGTCATGATGATAATGGACCGAACCTTGGAAACTGTAAGCAAGCTGCCCCCAATGAATTATTTCCTTTATAAGAGTTTCTATGGTCATGGTGTTTCTTCACAGCAATAGAAACCCTAACTAAGACAGGAAATTATCCTGGGAATAAATATGGTGGCAACTTCAAATGGCCATTGTAGTTGACTGTTTCATATAAGACTCTTTTGGTCACAAAAATGGGAGCCATTTCATGTAACTCAAGAAAAAAGGCAATGACAGAATGTTCCAATTATAACATGAGCTTGTATGTTCAAAGGTAGCTCCTAGGTCAGAAATTAAGGACCCTCTGTGACTTAGGGCCACATTGTCTCTGTTTCTTCTCATGTCTGCTTCACCCTTTATTTCCTAGTCCATCTGCTCTCTTTCTTTATCTTCTCCAGAGATGAAGTAAGCTTCTAATCACTTCTTTGACAGCAAAAATCTTTTCTCTACAGTATCAATTATTAACTAGATATATTTTCTGGTTAGATGTCTAAGAGAAAGAGAAACTCTTTTATGCCCGAATAAACAGTTTATTAGCTAGTTCAGCTCAGGTATCCACCTCAATAGACCGTTGACTTCAGGCTTGTGCCTGCTTCCCAGAGTCCTTAACCCAAGGCAGCAATGGTACAGGTACCTCACAAAACAGGAAGCGCTAGGGCAAAAGGAAGAGAATAGGAAGGCGAAGCAAAGATCAGTTTGTTAATTACAGGCCTCCTTCTGGATGTAGCATTTTCAATGGCCTATTCATTCCTCAATCTTTGAAAGAAAGAAGAGAAATATTGAAAATATTTAATGACTTCAGGTTTCTGGAAATGGATGTGAATATTCAAAATGAAGACTGTGTCTCTCTTTAGGTAACAATTTGCTTTGTTATTCATTTCTGAAATTTATTAAGAAAACTGAAAGGAACATCAGCTTTTCTGAGAAGGACTCTTAAAATCAAGTCACAGTGCACTGTGCTGCACAGTGACTATGGTTATTAACAATGTATTATATGCTTGAAAATCAGAGTCAATTTTATTTTATTTTTTTTAAAGTAAATTTTATTAAATTATAAAAGTTTCCATTTCCGCCCCTCTTCCCAACACCCTCCCACTCCCCCCACTCCCTCTCCTCCTCCCTCTTCCTCCCTTAGGGCAGTCAGGGTCTCCTGCCCTGTGGGAAGTTCAAGTTCCTCCCCCCTCCCTCCAGGTCCAGGAAGGTGAGTATCCAAACAGACTGGATCCCCAAAATCCAGTATATGCAGAGGAAACAGGTCCCAGTATCATAGTCAATGGCTTTTCAGAAAGACTTCGGGCCAGCCACATTCAGAGAATCCGGCCAAATTCCGAGAATCTGGTTAGATCACGTCCTCATTCAGTCCCAGTCCAACTGGCCTTGGTAAACTCTCATTAGATCCGTTCCCTTGTATCAGTGGGTGATAGCATCCCTCGCAGTACTGATTTCGTTTTTCATGTTCTTCCTCCTTCTGCTCCTCATTTGGACTTCGGGGGGCTCAGTCCGGTGCTCCAATGTGGGTCTCCGACTGTATTGCCGTCCTTCGCCAGATGAAGGATCTATGGTGATAAGCAAAATATACATCAGTATGGTTATGGGCCACGGCCGATTCAGGCACCCTCTCCTCTGTCCAGAGAACAATCTGGGGGATCTCTCCTTGGACCTGGGATCCCATGTATAATCAAGTCTCCTGTAAACCCTAAAATGACTCCCTTAGTTGAAATATATTCTTCCCTGATCCTATATTCATCCTTCCTCCCTCCCCCCCCATCCCAGGCCACCAAGCTTTCCCCTTTCTTCCCCTACTCCCTTCTCTCTAACCTTCTCCCCTTCCATCGACCCTCCCTCCCCCCGATGCACCCGAGGTTACCTGGGACTCTTGTCTATTTCCTACCTCCTGGTGGATAGATAAATAATCTTCATCAGGTTCATCTTCTTATTTAGCTTCTCTAGGATCACGAATAATAGGCTTAAAGACCTTTAATTATGGTTAGAATCCACTTATGAGTGAATACATACCGTGTTCTTCTTTTTGGGTCTGGCTTACCTCACTCAGTAAAGCGTTTTCTATTTCCATCCATTTGCATGCAAATAACAGAGAATTCACAACAGATGAACTTCGAATGGCCAGAAGACACTTAAGGTCATGCTCAACCTCCTTAGCGATCAGGGAAATGCAAATCAAAACAACTTTGAGATATCATCTTACACCTGTTAGAATAGCCAAACTCAAAAACACCAATGATAGCCTATGCTGGAGAGGATGTGGAATGAGGGGAACACTCATCCATTGTTGGTGGGAATGCAAACTCGTGCAGCCACTGTGGAAATCAGTGTGGCGGTTTCTCAGGAAACTGGGAGTCAACCTCCCTCAGGACCCAGCAATTCCACTCTTGGGAATATACCCTAAAGATTCCCTATCATACTACAAAAGCATTTGTTCTACTATGTTCATAGCAGCACTATTTGTAATAGCCAGAACCTGGAAACAGCCTAGGTGCCCCTCAATAGAAGAATGGTTAAAAAAGGTGTGGAACATATACACATTAGAGTTCTACTCAGCGGTAAAAAACAATGACATCTGAGTCAATTTTAATTGGCTCCATAGAAACAAAAACCAGATAACTACGTGAGATAATTAGCTCAAGTCTTTGTATAATGTATACATATTTTGAAACATAATATTGTACACAATATATATATGTGTGTGTGTATATATATATAATTTTTAAAGGGAAAATCTCATGGGAACCCTTGCCTAGATAAAAACAACTTCAGGCATCTAAGGAATGATGAGAGGGGGAGAAATAGTTTTCCCCAGGGAAGACTTCACCAGAAATTATATACATACAAGTAACACTAAATGGACTGAGCACATTGTACATTGTATTATATATTTAGGTGTGTGTGTGTGTGTGTGTGTGTGTGTGTGTGTGTGTGTGTGTGTGTATGAGAGAGAAAAAACACACAGAGAGAAACACACACACACAGAGAAAGAGAGAGAGAGAGAGAGAGAGAGAGAGAGAGAGAGAGAGAACATAATGTTACTTCTTAAGGCATACATTACAGGCCAGCTAGAATGAGGCAAGGGACAAGCTTAGAATGCCAAATTTCAGAATCCAATTTCAGAAGACACTCACTTTGGGGATTATGAGAATTCAGAGTAAATATTTTCATGACTTAATGTTGAGTAGTTCCTTAAATTTTGCACCTCAGCAACCTAACTTGCTTCATTTTGATGCTAGCTGTGGTACCATCCATAATGATGTTGAACAATTTACATAGAACCATTCCCTTTTTGCTGCCCCAGGTACAAAGCCATTGTCCGGCCAATGGATATCCAGGCATCCCATGCCCTGATGAAGATCTGTCTCAAAGCTGCCTTGATCTGGATCGTCTCTATGCTGTTGGCCATCCCAGAGGCTGTGTTTTCTGACCTCCATCCCTTCCATGTGAAAGATACCAACCAAACCTTCATTAGTTGTGCCCCCTACCCACACTCTAATGAGCTGCACCCCAAAATCCACTCTATGGCTTCCTTTCTGGTTTTCTACATTATCCCACTATCGATCATCTCTGTTTACTACTACTTCATTGCCCGAAATCTGATTCAGAGTGCCTACAATCTTCCCGTGGAAGGCAACATACATGTCAAGAAACAGGTGGGTGCTTACTGTCGGTTCATTTTCCTCCTTTGGCACTTGGCCGCTTGCACTAATTTTGAATCTTAGTGACAAGTGTGGTGTGTAAGCGACCACTCACTTGATTTTGAGATTCTAGGAAGTGAGTGATGCCTCTTTAGGGACTTTGGGTTCTTTCCGTGATAGGGCACTTGCATAGCATACTCTAGACCCCCGGATTCAGTCCTCCAGAACTGTGAAAAAGAAAATAATTTCAGGGAGTCCAATGCTTTCTATAGAGGCATCTTTTAATTTCAATCCTGCTGTTTGGCCAGGAAGAGAGGGACCACACAGATAAAAGCAGAGGGAGAGGAAAATGAGACTGGGTGGGGAAAAAAGACAATCTGCTTAAGGACAGCTAGAGAGCTGTTGAAGGACATGGCACGCTTGAACGCCAATGTCTTCATGAAAACCATTTCAGTCTAGACAATGCATGCCAATGGAAAAAGAAAGGCTTGCAGAATGACTGACTCAAATCCAGATTGGAGTATTCCTTTTGAGGCCTCAGTTTTCTTATCACTGTTATAATGGTGATACTTTCTATTTTGTAAGGTTATTGGGAAATTAAGAGAGCAAGTGTAAGAGCGACAGGTCCCAGCATGCAGAATAACCCCGTATGTTACCCCACCCTCTATTTCCCATAAAGCCCTCAAATATTATCCTAGAGGGACAACGAGTAGAAACTAAGGGTTCTGGTTTTTATTTTTGTCAGTATTTTATTTTTGTGATTTATGTATTTTAATTTGATGTATAGGACTGTTGGCCTGAAATGTATGTGCACCATGAGTGTGCTTGGTACCCGTGGAAGTCAGAGGAGAGGGATAAATTTCATAGGAGTAGATTTATATATGGTTGTGAGCCACCATGTGAGTGCAGGGAACTTAACCCAGGTCCTTCTCAAACCACCTCTCCAGCCCTAGCCACTTCTTTTTGCTTCCTAGCCCAAATGCTGATACATATACATACACACACACACATATATATATGAAAAAACACATATATATATGTTTTCATATATATATGAAAAAACAACTCCATGGAAGTGGCTAACCGATTTCTTTGGAGGGCTCCCCTTTCAAAGTTCTTGCCTTACCAAGGAGAAATAGCAGTTGTCAGTACAACTGACTACCTATTTGAAAGGCCTTTAGTACACAAACACCCACTCTATCCCAAATTGTTTAATGAGGAAGAAGTCCCCCCACCTTGAAGTCACAAAGGTAGTTAAGCACAAAAAGAGATGTTCACTCCGCTTTGTATAATCACCTTCCTCACTGTGTCATCCAGAAATAGCTAGAGATTAAAAAAATAATAATACAGACTTATCTCAGGTTGGCCAATGAGGAAGAATAAAGCTGACTGCTGTCTTGAGCATCAGAGGGGATAAGAAATAATTAACTGTAGAGCAAAGAAAGGCATGAAGTAGAATGGCTGATAAACTGCCCCAATGCTCTCTGGAGGGAAAAGAGGGCATTTACTAGCATTTCATTGTGCAGTCCTTTCAAGCATGTAATCAACTTTATTTAAAGATCTGGTCTCAGCAGCATATTGTAACTATTTTACCTCACGTGCTTCTGCTTCCCGCCTTGTCAATCTCTGTTTCTGATTTAGTTCCCCCCCCTTCTCATTATCTTCATCTCCAATTGAACTCTGTCTGCGGCTCTGCTCCCTCATCCATTTCCCTGTCCCCGTTTGTCTTCATTCCTCTAACACTGCATCCCCTCTGCCTCTTTCTCTGCTCAGATCGAATCCCGGAAGCGACTTGCCAAGACAGTACTGGTGTTTGTGGGCCTCTTTGCCTTCTGCTGGCTCCCCAATCATGTCATCTACCTGTACCGTTCCTACCATTACTCTGAGGTGGACACCTCCATGCTCCACTTCGTCACCAGCATCTGTGCCCGCCTCCTGGCCTTCACCAACTCCTGTGTGAACCCCTTTGCCCTCTATCTACTGAGCAAGAGCTTCAGGAAGCAGTTCAACACTCAGCTCCTCTGCTGCCAGCCTGGCCTGATGAACCGGTCCCACAGCACTGGCAGAAGTACGACCTGTATGACCTCCTTCAAGAGCACCAACCCCTCGGCCACCTTCAGCCTCATCAACGGAAACATCTGTCATGAGGGGTACGTCTAGACTAACCCTTCAACCTTGCCTCCTAAGGGACTCCAGATGTTGTTTTATGGATGGCCAGAAGCCCTGGAATCGGTTGTTATCTCTGGACCTTCCGAAGACCCTTCAGGAGGCTGAGTGATACAGATGGGTAGAAGAGATGACCAAATGCTTCAACTACTATTGTATCTCAAAGTAAGCCAGTAGGCTTCGTTTTCCATCTCAGTCTGGGAGGGCTTTTTCTGATGGCGATCAAATTTTCCTTTAAAAAAGAAGGAACAAGTTGGAAATTATTATTCAAAGCACCAAGTCCTGCTATGCAAGTATGGTCAAGTAAGTCATAGAAATTACATGAACAAAGAGAGCAGAGAAACCACACATTGAATATCTACTCTGTGAAAGATTTTATTTAAACAGAAGCTGATTGCTTTCAAAACATGGCTTGACTCTTTTTTTCCAGAAATATCTATAATATGTAAACCAAGGGACAACTTTAATTTACATTCCTAAAATAAGAAGCCAACTCTAAAAAAGAGTCCCATGTATGAGGAATGGACTTCATTTATAACATTAGAAGCCAGTGTAATATAAAACAAACCTCCAAATATTGACTTTTAAAAAGATGTTGCTGAGGAGAAACACCCAATATAAATTGTAAGGCAAAATTCAACCAAACACATAGGTCCATGTATGGATATGGAGTAACAGTTTATGTTCTGACTTCTTGTTTCATAGGAATTCAGATTGTTGTTAACCCAATTCAGGCAATTGTAGTGCTATTCTGCCATTTAGGAGAAATCTTTTTGTGGGGAAAATGTTCATTTTATCCAAGTAACAACTATTTATGAATGTATAAAGGATGGCATTTATTCTTGGTATATATGTTTTGAATCCAGTACCTTTACTTAGGTTTAATTGTGTTTGCTATGGTGAAGCAGGAGTTTCAATACGAAAAAGATCATAACTGTAGAGAAATTAAACCATGTTTATATTGGATGTATAGTTCTCCTAAAATGTGTGGAGGAAATTAACTTAGTTTTATTAATGTGAGTTTGTGTCTGAACATGTATAAAAAAAAACAGTCACAGAAAGCTTAAATTTTTGACCCAACCAAAAAAGGTATATATTTGTTTCTATTTAAAAAGAACATGTATGAAATAGCCCACATGCAGATAAAGACTGAACCGGTGGCTCCATCTCTCTCTAAATGCATAGAAAGCACTCTGTAAAGTTTGGACTATCTTACTTGAGAAATCCTTCTTTGACTTTTTCTGAACTTAAAGAAGGGCCAATTCTGACAGACTGTGAATATGCAGACTCACTTGACTCTAACTCCAAGTTGTACAAGTGTTTCTTAATGTGTATCCCTTAAATCCTAAGGCAATTTTATTTCAAGCTTTCTCTGCCTGGGTGAGATATAAACAGCAAGCACATAGCACATATAAAAAGCTTTCTGTCGGTTGATGCGGGGAAGTACTGGCTGGCTGTGGAGCTTTAGGCATTAGAACCAAGTCAGTGTAAGGATCTGTGCTTACAATTGTACCAGCTGGAACCAAATCTCTTCATTCCCGTGTTCTCTGGGCTTTTATGTACTATAAACACAAGCTTTCCTGGTAGTCCTTAATTACATTGCACTGTTTGAAAAGCGAGACAGACAGCAGAGGTAAAAAAAAATCAAGAAGACTTGCTATCCCAACATCACCTCTGGCTATATGACTTGGTTATCTGCTTTCCCTCCTCTAGGCTCCCATTTCATGTTTAAAATGAGAAGACAGAGCAAAGTCCCTTCTATTGCTAAGATCCCCCGTGTCTCTTCATCTCCTCCAGTTCTGTCTTGAAAGCACATCCATGTGGCCCATCTCCTTACAGTTAGTACACTTCTGCTTCGCTTACAACCAGAAGTCACTGGAGACCCCTTACCCACTCTTCCATGCCCCCGTGTACATGAGTGCGATGAGAGAAGCTAGGTTGTCTGCTACCCAGAGACTTTTTGGCATCACTCACATGAGTAAAGGTCCATGAGCTTACAATGTTTTAGAATTAGAGCTGAAAGCTACATAAGAAAATGTAAGGCTCAGTCTTCTCACTATTCAAAGGGAGCTCTTGCTCTTTGATCTTCTTTAGCTTTCATACACCTGCTCTATCAAAATCCTGTGTCACAATTTGCTCTTTTGCCTCAACCCCTCAAAACCCATGAGCATAAATGGCTTCGTGTCTAGGTAGTTGTTAACATAGACAGCCTTCTGGGATGTCTAGAATTCTGGCATATGGAATTTGGAATAGTAATTTTAGCTTCTCTGATATACCTGCTTTTAGAGATGTTCCCGGAACAGGATTCAGTCTCCTGTCTCCTTCATTTACCATGAGGCACAGATAATGCATCTCTTCACTAGCCACTTGTCAAACAGTGAGAAGATCAAGGCCTGGGTATCGTTGTGTGTTCTAAGGAATCTTGTTACTTCCAAATGAAAAAGTTGGGGGAAGTTTTTGGCAGCCGATGACCCAAACTGATAAACCATAGAGTGAATTGAATAATGGGTCACACCAGACCTTCTTATTAGCAAAAACATCATTGGTCCATTCTTTCTCTAACTACATTTAAGTTATATTTTAAAATCAAGAACCTAAACTCATATGAGAAATGTGAGACCCATGTAGTGTCCCTTCTCTGCCGGGACAGAACACACTGGGGCTGGAGCTGAGCCATTTCATGCCTGGCTTCCAAAGATAATCACGTTTAGCACTTATGTCTTTGGTGAAGGAAAAAAAATCAATTTTTGCTGTGGAAACCCATCTGTGTTTATTCAATTGACAGATACTACCTTTCAATCTATCTTAAATTGAGCCTCCCCAAGGCAGGCAGCTCAACAGTGATAGATTAAGCAATAAACAAAGCAGTCTCCCCACCAAGGGCTGCTGCTGGCAGGAAAGGTACAGCTGCCTTTGGGAGCCATATTCTACAGCAAGATGATCCGCCCTGGTTAGTGCAGACAAGGCCCCTCCCTGCTGATGATTTTATGATCCCCATAAATAGGCATGGCTCAGCCCACTTCTGGCTGCTCTCACTTCCCCACTGAATCGAGCTTTCTGCCTCATTAGCAAAGCCTCTTTGCCCCCGCTAATAATTTGGTTCTTCAACTTAGAGGATGAAGAGCCCGCAGGGAAACTATTTAGAAGCTGCTACAGATGAAGCAACGTCTCATCCTGGTAGGAAAGTGCACACTGAGCAGAAGTAAATGAACTTGACTGTGAGATGTGGGAGAACCTGGGTTGTAAAGTTCATGTTTCCGCCAAGAGGAGCAGTTGGTTATTGGTTTCTGAGCCTCATCGTGTGTCAGATGGCCTCTAGCAAAAGAGATTATCTTTGTTTAGAGAATGACGTGGTGAATGGCATCCTCACCTGTGGGCTAAAAGGTGGCGGCTAAGTCACTTTCCTCAGAAGCAGGATAGAAACAATTGCCCTGAGGGCCTGACTGTATGAGGATTGAATGAACAAATCATGATTTAAAAAAAAAAAGATGTAGGGGGGAGATGTGCACTTTCTTGCCATTGGCTCTCTTCGCATCCATACTAGGAGGGAGAGGTTGTGAGAGAATGGATTAGAATTCACCCTGGGGTTCAAGGAGGGGAAGAGCATATTTCACAAAATTCCTGTAACTTTGGCTCCTTTTTTGTGGAATGAGCTAACAGCCACAAAGAAGCAAGAACGCCTTACTTTATGCGGCAGATCTCTCTGGTTCTCTCCATCTGTCTTCTCTCTTTCTCTGCCTCTGTGTGTGTGCGCACACACACGCTATTCAGTGAAACCACGCCACCCTAAACTCTCCTTCCTTCTGTCTGAGTCTGCATTGCTATTCCTCCCAGCTACATCTCTCCCACAGAGCAGTCACAACAACTTCAACACTGTTCCACTCTTGCTGTAACTTCGGCCTTCAAGGCCAGTGAGACAGCGCAACCAGTAAAAGCACTTACTGCTGAGTCAGACATGCTGAATTCCACCTCCAGAGCCCATGTGGTTGAAGGCAAGAACTATCCTGCTTCTGACCTCCACATATGCACCATGGCACATGCAGGGGCCCTCCACACAACCACTCCTCCCCTCCCCCCATGTAGATAAACAAAGGTAATAAAAAGAAGTTTTGAAATATTATAATTTGGGCCTTCAAAGACATCCTTTGTTAGACAAAGGAGGATCAAGCATATGATCCAGGAGAACATATATTATAGAGGAGTCAACAAATAGCACACGAAGAACAAACTTTCCTTTTATGAAACCTCATGGTAGAAATGCACTCAATGGAGTTGAAATACTTTCTTAAAGTTTCAAGGTTGCACATGTATTCACTGTAGGAACCTTGGGTTAGATGATTACAGTCCATGATTAATTCAAAAGAATATTGCGTTTACCTCATGTTCATGGTCTATAAAGTATTCTCACACTCATTACCTCATCAAAGCAGCACATTTCCCACTGAACGAAAAGCCCATTTACATCCTTTAGTATGGGAATTTAGAAGTATTAAAGTCACTTACTTGTGACCATCTAGCACTGAATTAAAAGGTCCATGGAATCATGGGACTGAAACATGAGCTGTCAAAATCAAACCACATTTGAACTCCGAAAAGGAAAAGGCTGTTTCATCCACTGCAATTTAACCTGATTTCATTTTTCTCTGGTCTAAATTAACCATGCTGAATGAGTCTGTGGCTCATTCTGTGAAAATGACAGTCATTACTTCCCCCAGGTTCCAGGCGGTTTTGATAACCCTAGAAAGAGGCTCCTTACTTTGGTACAAGGGAGTTAATAGGGTTATTGTTGTCTGTATAGAAGTGGTAATAACTTCCCCTGTTATAAGGAAGTGTTAGAATGAAGCTCCTAGGACTTAATACAAAGCCCTGTTGCTACTCTAGATGTTACCCAAAGGCCTGACCTAGTGATAGAATGAAAAGGGATCAGGTAAAGGACTGATCGAAGGCCAAGGCAGGGATGCAGCACAAACTGGTTGATCAGGGAAGTCCCTTAACTTGTACCTTCATCCAACCCGGAGATACACATTAGTTGCAAGGACCCACTGAGTGACATGGATCTGTGGCTAGCTGAAAAACCTACCCAACAGGCTGCTTGGGGACACATGCTTGTAATCCCAGCACTCAAGGCACAAGAACTGTTACACATTCCAGGACAGCCAGGGCTACATGGTGATAGTTTGTCTCAAAACAACCAAAAGAAAAATCAAATCAACAACAAATAACTCAGCAATGGACAAAGTCAAAGAAGAGGACCCAAGTCCGAACAATTAACTCTTTTGGGGGTCAGGATTCATTGGAGCAAGGGTATCAGGAATGAGGCAGAGCCACTCACTCATCCTCCATCTTCCTTACTAAATAAATATGACAATGAATGGTTTCCTGGAGCCTGGGGACCCAGGCTACAGGAATGGCCTCTAATAGAAAAACTATTTCTTGGACTACGGGACTTGAGCAAAAACTCAAATAAGAAATAGGTAGTCTGGATGCCCTGTTAGAATCACAGATCCCATTCACTGTCTCTGCCCTCCCCGAGTTTATACATTTCTAGGAGATAAGATTTATATTTTCCACAATTCACTCCCAGAGTAATAGAACACAGAGAGACTCTCATAACTTTATGGTTTCTTAAGAGAATAATTTTAATGGATGATAAAACTTCATACATTCAAGACTTCATTAACTCCCAGGCAAGCTTAAAAGTTTTGGTATAATTCGGGGCCTCAATATTTAAGACACATTGTATAATTTGGACCTCTTGTGTATTTCAGACTTTCTTTGCATTGGCCTTAGCTATGCCTATGACAATGACAAAGGAAAAGTGTGTTCCCTAAACGATTTTCTGTTCTGCATGCTGAGCTTTCCTGATCTGTACATGACCTTTCTTGCATTCGAGACAACAGCGTTTGAGATGACACACTCCAGTGAATTGTGAAACCACATGACACAAGCTTCTTTGGTGTCATTTTATGTTTTGTTTTAAATACTAGGCACATGTTTTGTAAATTGCAATTGTACTTGTTAATATTAGCCATAAATATTTATTGCATTGAAAAATATACTCTGTGTTAAATAACTCAGAACGAGTTCCAGGTATGGTACTCAGTGTAAATAATGTCATAGCTTGGCTTTTCTAGACTCTTTGGATTAATGAATTATGTAGAAGAAATTCACAACGTGAACATGACTGACTCAGATCCTTTGGCCTTTGCCATGTGTGTAACTGTATGGCCGTGTGAAACTTGCTCTGTACAAAGTGTGCCCTGTGATTGAATTCGGGGTTTCCCAGAAATGCTTCCAAAACTACTGTCTTATCCTGTGTGCTCTCTGTGACAGTAACTCAAATCCAGTGTAGAGAACTGAATGTTCAAAGTAGTAGAAGATAGGGAGTTACTCTTATTTCTTAACACAGTAAAACGTAATTTATGAACTGGACAGATGCATGCATCCAATAGTCAATAAAACAGTTGTTGTGTGACTGCAGTCTGTGGCTCTGTGTCCCTTTTATTATTAATAATAATAATTATTATTAATTTTGGGGTACATGTACAGCCTGGTACACATGCAGGAGATTAGAGACCACCTTGTGGGAGACAGTTCCTTCTCCGGCCGTGTGGGTCCTGGGGATCAAACTCAGTTCTCGGGCTTAGTGGCAAGCACCTTTTAATTGTTGAGTCATCTCACAAGCCCTGTCCTTTAGATTATTGGTTCCTCAGACCTACATCAGAATCAATCAAGCTGATTTGTTACAAAATATACTTTCAAATACTTTATTAAGATGGAGCATTCTTCATTAAAAAACATGCACTCCACATAATTCTCAATAACTAGAGTTTTATTACATTTTTGCTTATATATTTAGCATTTTAAAACATATTTTATTTTTTAATTTATTTATTTTGAGGTGAAAGGGTTTATTTTAGATCATTATTCCCAAAGAATCAATAAAAATAAGCATATGGATATTTTTAATGTACTTTTGAATGTTACATTTTTCACATAAAATATAAACTATTTATGCATTATGAGAAAGTACGGAGGGGGTTTGTGATCATAGACTCATAAAACACAAAATATGCACAAGGAGATTGATGTGTTAGGAAAATATTTGCTATGTGAAAGAATTTTCATCTATGCATACACATAAATGAAATGCAAACTATCTTTGCTCAAATAAAAGGATTTTCCCCCCATCTGACATTCTGTCTTAATCCCTACTAATACAACATACAAAGGGTGGAAAATTAGAAGTTTTTCCTACTTACTTTATATTTCGCTATGAAAGATGAATCTGAGTCTTGATCAACAGAGCCTTCTTCCTGAACTTCTTTTAGATTTTATGTGTATCTGTAGAAACAGATTTTATCAATTCTTTGAGAATTTCACACAATGTATTTTGATCTTATCTATTTCTTACTCCTCCCCTGAATCTTCCCCGGCCCACCCCATCCTATGCACCCTGCAACTTCAAGTTGTCTTTTTCTTCTTATTTTAAATGACTTCATGACTCTCTGAATTTGTGCTGTCCATATACTCCTGAACCATCTGGGAGAGCAGGGTTGCCTGTCAGGAAGTATACCCTTAAAGAAAATTGACTCTCCCCGCCCTCAGAAACCACCAAGTGACCATAGCTCTTCAGTTAAGGGTAGGAGCTTGGGAACCTCTTCTTCCTCTAAGCTAGAATGTTGACAGTCTTGGTCTTGTGTGGCTCTTGTACAGGCAATCGCTGCCACTATGATTTTGTGAGTGCAGTGGTTCTTCCATGCCAGAGGCTACCAGTTTGCTCTTATCCTCCCTACTTTCTGTCTCATGGTTTAAAGAACTAAAAGCACGCATCTCGGAACTAAAGGCATGGAAAATGGTATCCAGCACAAAGTTACATAACTGTTACTGCCTCCTTTCCTCATAATACTCAGAATCCATCCCCAAAGCCTGCAGCTGGTGATCATCGTTGTGTTGGTACTAGTTTGTTTATGTGTCTGCTGCAGTGCTTACACATATATACAGGTAATAATAAAACGTTTTCACACATTCCATCCTCAATTTATAGAAATGGTAGCATATTGGTTGCTATGCCCCTATTTACTCATGACACACCATATCTTGAAGATCTTTCTCTATCAGTGCCTGAAATGCTTCTTCATCTTTACTACACTTACATGGCATAACATCATTTTTTTTTTACCCTGTCTCTTTGGAGAACTATTTGGAGTTTTTAAATGTTTTGCTGTCATCAACAATGACATGATAAATAATAAAAATAGTATATTTGTAATTTCATGCATGTGAAAATGTTTCTGTAGGGAAAATTCTGGAATGTAGAATTGCAGAAATGAGAGTTTATAATTATGACAATTAGTCCAAACTGTTCTCCCTATGACTTAAATGCTAAAATATAAGGATTCCTGCTTTCTGAAATTATCGCAGTTAACACAAGGCAGACAAGCTCTTAAAAATTTATGGCTTAAACAAGACCAAAGCATAAGGATAGAAGTGGTATGAAGTCCCACCCCTAGTCAAGGCAATATTGGCAATTATTAGTTGCTGGAAGAGGAACAGTCAGTTTTCTATATGAGTGTAGTCCCTGGTAGGCCTACTTTGGTCCAACGGAAGACTATACACCTAAGAACATTTGAGCAACATAAATTGGATTTAATGGGCTTTATTTTTAAAAAAGAACACAGACTTTCCTTGGTTGGAGAGGCAGATGTGGGAGGAGTTGAGAGAGGGAAATGAAAGTGATTAAAATTTTCTATGTGAAATTCTCAAAATATTAAAAAAGAAAAGGCAAATGTGTGTAAGAATTCCTCCCATCATTTTTATAATGAATATATGCTAATGAAAGAAACATGCTAATGAAAATTTAAAAATTCAATTTAAGTATGTGGGGAGATCCTTATGAATCAAAGTGAGGAAATCCAGTTAACAGATACAAAACAATTAACACATTACACGTGTTGAGTTCTACTCTTTTTTCTATCTACTCAATGGCTGATTGTGAAGAAAAACTAACAGATTATAAGATGGTATTTCCAAAGGCTATTTGGCGTTGAATTCATGAATTGTTCTATCCATTTCTATAGGGCTAATGGTCAGAAATCTAATTATTTCCTACTATGTCACCAATTCACTTACATGAAATGTGTGTGTGTGTTGCAGTGATCATGTCTTTTAAGATATTTAAAATACTCAGCAATAGCTATGGCTTGATATGGTTTGAGTATCTCCTAGGGCTTCATGTCTTGAGCTGAAGTCCTTGTTGTTAGGTAACAAGAGGATCAAATTTAATCCAACTATGATATTAGAGGTAAAACCTTCAGGTGATGTGGATTAACTAAGGTACCCATGATTAAATTTTGATGGCTTTATAAAAAGAGGGAAGAAATCAGAAAGCCAAATGTCATACTCTCATTTGTAGTTTCTCATTTTATGTAGTATGCAAAATCATATGTGCATATTTAAAATGAAGCAGAAGTGAAACTGTCTAGGGATACAAGGGGAACAGAAGGGAGGAGAGAGGGGCAAGAAAAGGGAGGACATAATTGGAGGTAGGGTGCTTTATGTGTAATATAAATCTGTAAGAACATATAAAAATCAAATAAAATTTAAAATTGAAGACACAAGGAATACACACACACACACACACACACACACACACACACAGAGAGAGAGACACACACACTGCACCTGTCTCACTGCCCTGCACTGCCATCAAGAAAACCATCCTCTTTGGTGGTACTGTAATATCAGTACTTGGAAGTCAGAAGCATGAAGCTCACTGAAAGTTTCAGATCAGTCTTGGCTCCTTAGTGAGTTCCAGGCCAACCAGATCTACAAGCATTACTATGTCTTAAAACAAAACAAGCAAAACAGACAAAAGACCATCACCAGCCTTAGGACATTGATATTGACCCTTCAGAGCTGGAAAAATAGATTTTCCTTATAAATCTGTCTTTCTTGGTAACAGCAAATGGGCTCATGGAAGGAAGCTGACAGCAAAGGAATGGCAGGGTCACAGTGGGTGTAAATGAGGACCACCCAAACTTCGTGCCTTGGTGAGAAAAGATAAGACTAGTGGTGCCTACCAGATGTAGTCAGAAAATTTCCTGAAGGACATACTTGTCACCTTGCCAAGAGGCTTCCAGAAGGTAGACTTTGAACGGAAGGAAGTTCTCTCATCTCACATGTGCCCTGCCGTGTACTCCACCTTCTTGATACCTAATGTGTACAGTTCACAATTAAGTTGTAAATGCTTTATGGAAGGGTCAACACTTCCATATCATAACTGTGCCTAAAGTAATGCTTGAGTCTCTGGGTTTCGGGGATTATATGGGGAGACAGTCCATCTAAAAACTTTTGGGATAGCCAGGCAGTAAAATGCCAAACTGAGTGTAAAGTGGTTCCACTGTAATCACTCTGAGTTTCATCCAAAGCCCATGTGCTATTTCCTATCTGAAATTCTTCGGAAACGTTTTACCTACCATGTCAGGAAAAGAAAACTTTAGTAATCCACAGATTATAATATAGAGAGTTTAATATTCTCTCAGAAGCATGGACTATTAGTGTTGTAAGACACCCAGAGAATGCCATACATAACCCCTAAATTTACGAATGAGGAAGTTCAAGAAAAGTGTCAGAATTAATGCTTCATTTAGTCATCAAAATTTGGGAAAATGAAAACGAATGGGCTTGGAGATGATGTAGATGAAGTGGGCAGAGTTTCAACAGTCCCTCTTGCTAGGGGAAAGGCAAGTCTGTACAGGACTATGCTGCAACACACCAAGCTCATTCATTAGGCTCAACACTGACAACTGATGCTTTCTAATACAAGAGAGGTGGGAAAATTTCTCAAGGAAACAACACAGAAGCATGAGTCCTATCTTTTGCATATGGACTGAACTGTGTTTAATATTATACAAATGAATTTCTGAACGTACAACCCTTTTCTGGGCTTGAAGTCAGGAAAGCCAAACACCTTGCTCCAAACCACAGGCCAACTTTAACTCCTCCCAGATCCTCTAGGCTTTTCAAAGGGGCTGCACCCAGGACAACGGTAGCTCGTGTATAATTCATGAATCATTACCTAACTAGGAACTGGTTAAAATTAAGATATGAATACCCTATTTGGGGCTTTTGTATCCAAATTTGCATTTTAAAAATCACTAAGAAATTTTGTTCTTGGTTATCCCAGAGAATGATCTGTGATAGCTATATTGAAGTTTGTAATGAGTGAATTTATGGAATGTATAACACTCAAGACACTAAATAGCGAGCATCAGCTAGCAAAACAGCATTAAATGGATGCATAAAATGTCCAGTAGAAACAGCTGAAGTAGGCCAAATGAGAGAGCAAACAAAAAGTAACACCACCAAATCAGGGATCAGAAATATCCGGCAGAAATTTACTGGAGAAACCCCATTGAGACAGTCAGCAAGCAT